CAATACAACTTCAAGGAAATTCAAGTGTAAAATGAAAAAAAATGAAGTATAAAAATAATCAAAGTTACCTAGTCTCATTTGTTTGCCTCTCTGAAGGGAAAAGATGAGACAGCAGACAGCAATTCATCATTCTATAATCACCTGGAAATGCCCATACTTAACAAAGTCTTTAAGAGTTCATTCTGCACCTTCTTCAGCGCTCTAAATGTAATTGTCTGGATTATTGCTTAATCATCAACTTGAAAAACCTTTCAAACCATTTACCTCAAAGAGGAAATCTGTAGTTTATCAAAAAAAAATGGAACTCAGTATCCAATATTCCATGATTTTCTAGAGAAGTTAGTGTTATTTTTTTCTGTATGTGATTAACAATATTTCATGATGATCTGCACTGTAATTTTCCATAAGAAAAAGTATGCATTGAATAGGACATCATTCTTGCTATTCAAGAATTTCTGCAGTCAAGAGCTCCTTCAATTTTCCCACTACTGCTGCCATGATGATTATGATACTTTTTCCTTAGAAAGAAGAGAGTTAGTCTTCAACTATCAAGTCTTTAGCCACCCATCATTACCACCACAATGGCTACGTTAGCATTAGCTGTAAAAAGGGAAGTTATTCTCCATCTATTTCCCATGCACCAATGGTGTCATTGGGCTGTACTTCTAGCCAGGAGAATGGAAAAGCTATCTTGTAAGTTAAGGGAATATAATAAAGGGGGTGACCTTGTTCAAAGTATACTGTATGCATCTGTGGAAATGTCACAATGAAACACCAATGAAATCCTAATGTATGCTAAAAAAAAAAAAAAGCCACAAGTTGCTAACAAAACCTTTTAATTAATTTATATTTTTAGCCAAAAAGAGATGCTCATTTTTCTGGGTTTTAATTACACACATGCTACTCTTTAGAAAGGACCACAAAATACACAAAGATTCCTAAATAGTCAACCTTTCTCTGGTTCAGAATTCAGTATTAACAGTCATATAAAATATGTAAACTTGTCATGAGTTGCAAAAAGCAGATCTCAGGCCAGTCAGTAACAATATGCAAAAGATTCTTGAACACATTTGGACAATTTACATCTGGGGTTTTCCCAAGGCTTAAGAATGTCCAGTTTACAAATGTATAATTGACAAGTATTTCTAGTTACTTATTTGTAAAAGCTTTCCAATTTCTATAAGACTTTTAACATGAAAAATCAAGGCTTACTCGATTTATTTTATATCTGTTACAACATTAGATCAAATTATGTATCTTTTCTTATAAAATTCAACAGATGGCATATCTATTTTTACAGCTGTTTGAAAATTATAAAAAGATTTTTTACAGAACTTTTCAAATAAGTGGCTTTATCTACCAAAACCTAATTCTATCTTATGTATTCTGGGCTCTATATTTGGTCAGCTCTTCTAGAAATTCTTATCAGGGATCCTGATGTTCAAAAATCACTTAGAAGATTGTTCTTTTTAAAAAATGATATTATCCTGGTCCTGGAAGAACTTGATCTCTAGCAATTAATTTTGCTCCTTTCTATTTTCATATTTATAAAACTTATTTCTTACCCTAACAGGAGCTAAGCTGTTGTGCTAAATTTCCATCACTCTCAATGCTGCTTTTCATCTTGTAGTTTAGAATTTGGGATTTTGTGTCCTTCATACAACAGACATTGTTAGTAGTTTGGGACTCAAATTCTGACTACTTAGTAGCCATATGACATTGAGAAGCATTCAATTTATTTGATTCTCAAATTGCTTATCCATAAATTGGAGCTAATAATAATCTCTTCCTTCAAGGCCTGAAAAGAGTTAATAGGATAATTTAGCATGGACTTGATACATAATGAGTACTTGTTCATATGTCACCATAATGTTTAGGGCTGAAAACATTAGACCTTTACCTTATTAAAGGCTTATTTGGTATGAGCCTTTGTGCATGTAAGTCTTTCCCCTAGACTACAAGCTTTGTGAAAGGAAGGCCTGAGTCTTCTACTAACATTGTACCCCCAGGCAAATCCCTTGGCATTGCATGAAATATACATTTAATGAATGAATTACTGAATGCCTAATCTATACTTGGGTATGGATTAAGGCAGGCAGAGAGATTTATAAGAAGCATCCTGAGGCCCTACACATCTCAGTTTGATCCCAGGTCAACCGAAGTCTTCAGCGAAGAGCCCTCAGTAGGGACTTCTCTAGGAATAGGAGTGGGAAATCAGGTCTTCAGATGCTTAGAATATATGTGTTTATAAAACAAAGATAGAAAACCATAATTTGATGTTAGACAAATATTTTGGCAAGTCTCAGAAGAAAAATCACAGAGTAGAGAGAAGCAAAACTAATGCCATACACAGATTTACCCAGAAGTCACAAGCTAAAAGATATACTCAGTACAGTCAGAACATAGGAACAGACCTCCTCTCATGAGAGTCTCATCAATTACACCTTGCCAAAGCTAGACAGGACATTTCCAAAGGCACATAACACTGACATGCCATACTTTCAATTTAAACTAAAGGATGCAATGCTGTATCTGGTTTTGATTCCCATGACTTAATGGAGTCTTTCTAGTCACTAGAGGAAAACCTGAAATTCCATTGATACTTCTAAGGCTAAGGTAAATAAAGATCAAAAGCGGGGAAAGGTAGGAAAATATTGGAGAGTAAGGATCAAAAGAATCTTGATAATATATGTAGAAATTCTACATACTTTGCTTTACATCTTGTTCTTAGGAAGTACTTAGTAAATAGATTTAAAACTAATTGATCTGGAGAAAGAATTAAAAACAGAAAAGATAAAGAATA